AGGGAAGGTCCATAAACTTTGAAGGCTTCCAAGTGTGACTTTAGATGAACTGAATCAGCGTTTCTATGCAGAATAAAAACCAGCATTTCTATGCAAAATAAATAATTTAAAACAAATTAAAAGTTTTTAAAACCTTAATTTGTATTATGTAACAAATAAATAAAGAATAAAAATCAGCATTTCTATGCAGAATAAATAATTTAAAATAAACTAAAAGTTTTTAAACCTTAATTTGTATTATGTAACGAATTCATATTAATTATTGTGTGGGATTACCGCAAATAGAATAAAATTTGGTTTCAACATTTGACCTATAAACCTTAGTAATCTCTCTTTAAAGAAGATTAAAGATACGTTGCTACTATTTTAAATTGTGTGTATGTTTAATTTTTTAAAATTTTGTTTAACCATATTAATAAAAATTTACAAATTTTCATCGTAAATTTACAGAAATTGGTTGGGTGTCACTTATATAGATACAAACTAGTCAATGGAGTGGCACAAAAAACATAAAGTTCTCAACAACAAAAAAGGAAGATAAGCAAATAAAATATAAATGAGGAGAATAAAAAAAGTCAACAAAAACTTAAATTAAAAGAAAAAGAAAAACAATGATAATAATTATCCTTGCTCTTTTATTAACATTATGAATACTTCTAAACTGAATTTATATATTAAACATGTAAACCTATATTCTGGTTTCTTTTTATGATATTATGAAGACTTTTAAATTTTATTTAAAATAAATTAAAGGTAGAAGCTTTGATTACTTTGAGCTCTTATATTTATCATTAAAGTTTATTTAAACTAAATAAACAATTTAAATCAAATAAATATCAGCTTGCTCAGCCCCTGTTTATTTATAAAAATATAGTAAATAATAATATAATTATTAATAAAAAATTTATAAGGTATTCTATTTATTATTTTATTTAAAGCTCACTCAACAGAGTTGTTAGATTACTATGGAAGCTTTTATCACAGATAGTTAATATTTGATTTCAGATACTGATGCAGATTTATCCATTACAGCGACAGAAGAAGAATGATTACTAAGATTTCAGAGTGTAAAAGATTAAAAGAAGCTAAAGAAAATGTTATGTGGTGTAAAGTTAAAAATAATCAAAAAAAACAACTTAAAAGTGTGTAAAAAAGTAGTTAGAGAGAAATCTATCATTTGTACTTTTTTTTAGCAGCAGGTTCACAACAGTTGTAGTGGAATACAAAATGGTCTTAACTTGGGTTTTTTTAGAAATTGTTCGTTTAATGAATACAGAGAAGTAAAAAAAAGATATTGAAATAAATAGCAATAAAAAGATATAGTGTGTTTGTAAGATTTTTCATGTTGTAGATACAACTAGATCAGCTAAGAGTGTTTATTTAAAGAAAGAGTGTTCAAGTGCAAAAGATAAATTTACTCTAGTAATGTTCAGAGATTTTTATCCACTTCTATTAACAAAAGGTGCATTAAAAACAAAAATAAAATATACAGCACATGAAAAAAATGCTATATAACATTAATATGGTTTCCACACAGAAAAAGTAGAACTAGAAGTAGGAAAATTTGGGGAGAATGTTTCAAAAAAGCCTAAGTTTAAAAAAAAAAGCTCGGTGTGGTCAAGTATCAGAAACGACATAATGAGAAACTTTCAAACAGGGGCGCTGAGAGCTTTTGCCCTGCCTGGGACAGCAACCCTGACTGGCGTCCTCATTTTTATACAATTTTTTTATATTATTAGTCAAGGACCTTAGTTTTGGTACCTTTTTTGTTTTACACCCCTGCTGATCTGAATGCTGATTAAATTTTAAGCATATATAGTGCCGAAGCTTCGGCTTCGGCAAAATTTTAGCTTCGGTACATTCATAGTTGTTACTTCTAATAATTAGCAAGTTTTTAGCAAATGTTTTCACGAAATTAAGTTATATAACAATACTTATATTAAATGTTTATTTATTAAACGCTTTCAATTTAATAATAAACTTTTTTATTATTCAATTTTAATATAAATGTAATGAAACATTTTGATCGAATAGAATAACAGAGAGAGTTTCAAAAAAATCTATGTTTAAAGCAATTTTCTCTTTATAATTTATTATTATTTAATAAAATATTTCTTATAAATTATGAGAAAACACTTAAAAAGTAGAAAACCCTGTTAAAAGCAGTTCAAAAATATTTAGTTTAATGGTTGCATTATATGCCTATATAAAACTTTTTATTTTTTTTTAATTTTTTAGATTTGTTTCGCCGTTTAAAAATAGTTACAATAACCAGATAATATAGTTACAATTAGATGTATATATGTATAATTACAATAACCATAAGAGAATATATACACTAGTGATCAAAAGTTTAGACTCAGAAAAAAAATCTCTTAAGCTTAGCTCTGAAAATGCTAAAAAAAATTTATTAAGATAATGCTTGAAATTTTTTTTTTTAATTCAACTTATTTAGTTAGTTTCTAACATAATTACAAAAAACACACACCTTTTATTTTATATATTGGTCTTTTTTTTTATTTTATAATAATAGCGCTATTTAAAAACAAATAAAATGTGTCTCATAAATTTAGACTCACTTTTTCTATCTTTATTTCCATATAAGTGCTTAACCTTTTTTTTTAAAGATTGTAATTCTAACATGGATCAAAATATATTTTCTAAAATATTATGTTTAAATCCATTTAAAAATTAAATTATTTACTAACTTAGTGCACGCTAATCAAAATATACAATTTTTACTCATTATTTGCATTTAAAATATTTAGAAAATGGGTAAAACATCAGTATCAAAAGAAATCAAAGAAAGAATTATCACCTTGCACCTTGCTGGTAATTCTACAAGAAAAGTTCAGTTGATTCTCAAGAACGTATCACAGTCATGTGTCACTAAAACAATAGCTAAGTGGAAAAAAACAGGTAGCACATTAGATAAAATCAGATCCGGAAGACCCAGAAAAACAACTACCACTGATGATAATAGTATATACAGAATTGCCAGAAAAAATCCTAAGTATAGTGCCAAACAAATTGCTCAAGAAATAAATCTAGCTCTTAAAAATGACATCTCAAGGCAGACAGTAAATAGAAGATTAATTGATCGTAAACTATGCTCGTATACTGCTGCTAGAAAACCAATGCTTAAAAGATCAGATCGACTCAAACGGCTACAATTTTGCAAGAAAATTCTTAAGATGAGTGATAGTGATATAAAAAAAATTGTATTCAGCGACGAATCGAATTATGCAGTCGTTAATCGAAAAAAAAGAGTAACTGTTCGAAGACACCATAATGAGAAGTTTCATAATCGTTTCATTGTACCTCGGTTACAGGGCGGAGGAGGTTCAGTTGGGATCTGGGGTTGTATCACGTATGATGGACCCGGACTATGCTACTTGTACACTGGTAGAATGGATCAATACAGATACATTGAGACGCTTGAAAATAATTTGATTCCAACAAGAGACTTATTTTTTGGAGATGAGCCAGAATGGAAATTTCAGCAAGATAATGCCCCTTGTCACAAAGCAAAAACAGTAACAGCTTGGTTTAAAGAAAATAAAATCAATTTACTCCAGTGGCCAGCTAGATCGCCAGATTTAAATCCAATGGAAAATGTATGGTCTGTGCTTGATCGAAAACTGACCAAAGCTCCTGTAACTTCAGCTGAAGAACTACGAAAAAGTTTAAAAGAGTTGTTTGATGGCTTGTCCTTTGAATATTGTCGAAATCTTTTTGAATCTATTAAAAGAAGATGTAGACTTTGCATAGCTAACAAAGGCGGTCACATACCTTATTAACTTGACTTACAGTTTAAAGTGAAAAGTCCTGAGTCTAAACTTATGAACAAGATTTTTATAGATATCTTTTTACATGATTTTGCTATTTTCAAAATAAAATACTTTAAACTTGTTTTTCTTTTCAAGTCTTTTATATATATTAAAGAGAATTTCATAAATAATAAACTGGATTAAAAATAAAATTAAAAACAAAACAAAAAAGGCATTTTTTTAAATCACAAATCACTAAGAAACTATAAGTTTTATTCTGAGTCTAAACTTTTGATCACTAGTGTATTTACATTTACATTTCGCAGCAACAACGGCAGGACTTCTAGAAGATCATGAGGATCTTATCATGAAGCCCTTAAAAAAATATATTACATTTACAAAACTTATTATTAATAAGTTAGGCTTATACATTGCATTTAAGGTAAGATTGCCGCTATTTTACCCTCTAAGAATAAAGTCAAAAATTAAAAAAAAAAAAAACAAAGTAAAAACAATGAGACTTGGCCGTCTACTTTGTATTTTTTCTCGGCCGATGTATTTTTATAGTCGATACATCGGCCCGCCGATGTATCTACTATAGCCGATACATTGGCAGGCCACCCCTAGTTTTATGTTCCTGCACCCCTAGTTTTATGTTCCTGCAATCAATACAGAGGAAGTAAAGTAGGAATTACATTTTCTAATCAAACAGTACAACTGCATAACACTGTTAATATATATATATATATATATATATATATATATATATATATATATATATATATATATATATATATATATATATATATATGTATATATTATTGTATGTGTTCGACAATATCTTAAAAACTTGACCTGATGGAGCAAAACAATTTTCAGATTTAAAATCAGCATAAAATATTACTTAAAAAACACTTATTCAAGAATAATTCGCATCTTGTAGTGTTATCTGTTTGAGGAGCCTGTATAACTCAGATCTTTCTATCATAGTGCAAAACAACATGTTCAAAAGCACTTCAATTTTTGCTGTAAAGATAGCTTTTAGCATCTTAGAAAGAATTTTGATACGCCAAAATGAGATTTGATCTTTAAAATTAACGTTATCTTATCTATTTTCTATCTAATAATAAAAAAAAAAATTATGCATAATTATTGCCTTTTTCCTAAAGTTAATAATACTGCAGTTAAGGCAGCATTATTCCCGCAGTAGAGAAAACAACAAACAGAAAATAATTTACCCCATAAATTTATGGAAAATTCTACAAAATAATTACAATAGTTTTCTCCAAAACATTATGCCGTCACTGTCAAAATGTCGTAGAAAAATTGAAATTTCGCAAGAAACAAAAAACTCGTCACATCAGTCGTAGCAAAGCAGTACAAAAGCGGTAATGTAACTTAAGTGGAAATGACATTTTATTATAAATATGTCTGATTGTTTTAACATTTCTCAATCGTTTATTTCAGGTAAAATTGACAAATAAATTAATCAGAAAACTAATACAAAAACTTCAAAAAGTTTAAAAATAACTTTAAAAATGATATAAAAATACTTAAATAAAAAGTGAAAAAATGACAAAAATAATAATTAGAAATTCCAAATAAAAACTAAATCTATTTTTCTAACTATAAACAATAAATGTAACGAAAACAAACTACACATGTACAATTCTCGATGAATGATTCAACCCTTCAAACAATATTTCTGCAACGAATTATCGTTTTTTTCTTTAAATGTTTATCTTTTTTTAATATTTCCATAGCTTATCCATTAACTACAAAAAACTGAATAAACGCTGTGAAGATATGTGATAATAGATTTTGGATCCGGAGAACGCATTCGAACCATGTCTTCAACGTCCAACAAATCCATTACACCCTCCTCTCTAAAATGTAAGAAAATTCAACACAATTATTTTGATAAAAACATTTTTGATTTATAGTTTTTTTTTACCACAAAAAAAAACCTCGGTTTTTACGGTTTATACAGTAAAGCTTTAACCTATTTTTTTAAAAGGATTCTTAAAAATCTCATAGCATGCAGATTTAAAATATGTTAAAATATGTTTATTGACGATTTGAATTTTTAATACTTTTTAGAGATTTAATGGAAAAAATCTTTTTTAAAAATTTTCAGTTCACGTATTTTTACAGTAGATCGAAAGAAAAACTGTTAAAAACAAATTAAAACCCGCATCTTTTTTGAGTTATTGACAAATTTTTTCAATCTTTAAAAAGTTCCAAAATTTAGGGGGTTTTAAATTTTCTACAGCCAAATCTTTTAAACGTTCTAAAATCGGCGGTTTTGTACTTTCTCTACCTTTTGAGGACTAAATTATATTTTGATGAAATTTGAAATCTAATAATAAATTACAAAACAATGTAGAGTAAGTTTACTTTGGCGCTTTTTATTGGTACTTTACTAATTTTGAACTGACATGTTTCAAATGTAAAAGCAAGTAGTGTGATCTGTAACACATTTGTGTGTATTCTGAATCATTAACTTGTTATATCTTCTTTATTCCTACATTGAATAAACGGAAAGATAACTCACCTTCAAGTTCGAGTTGGTTTCACTTTTTACCTGCTTTATCTCAGTAAAATTTAACAAAAAAAAAATTTAGCTTAGAATTAGTTTCTTCCAAATTTTATAAATTTAATGACTTTCATTTAACCAGGAAGTCTAATAAAGAACAGATAGCCAGTTTAAAATATAAGTTTATTGGTTGGGCTAACCACTTTCCGGCCGGATATACTTAGAGATAACTCGAAAAATACATAACAAATTATTTCTAAATTTTTTAAAAATGATACTCTATATACATATATTTAATTGTATTGGTGTTTTACTAATACTATCAGTTTATCAGTCCGAAATGAGTAAACAATTAAATAATTGAAAAAAGAGTTTAGAAAAATTCCTTCAAAACCCAACTTACTCACAAATTGAAAACTTGCCAAAAGTCGCTAAACCTTCAGTAAAAGACATAATCTTCAGTAAAAGACATAATCTTCAGTAGAAGACATAATCTTCAGTAAAAGACATAATCTTCAGTAGAAGACATAATCTTCAGTAGAAGACATATTGAGACAATACAAGAAGACTCAAACTATTAAAAGAAAAATAAGCGATGGAAAAAGGTGGAAAGATAAAAGGTTTTGTTGACAAAAACAAAGTGATTTCAATCATCCGGTCAATTACAAGAAATCCATGGTATCCCAAAGAGATCTTACCAAAAAGTTCAAAAGCAGTTGTTTCCTTGTCAGAAAAGCACTCACGAGCAAGGATTTAAAGGCTTACACCAAGAAAAAAATTCTGAAGCGATCAACGAAGAACAATACGCAATATGCAAAGAAGCTTGTCAAACTTCAAAACAAGAAAATTTATGCATTATTTTTTAATTTATGCATTATTTAGGATGATGAAATGTATTGTAATAAGGATTTCTAAGAGTTGCCCGCCCATCAATACTATTACTTTTCAAAAGGTGTTTGTGTCAGCATCAAATTTAAGTATATTCAGACTGAAAAGTTTGCTTGGAAGATCCTTGTAGGGGAAGCAATTCCCTCTTGTGGCCATAAGAGTGCTTTATTTGTCACTTTTTGATTTCCAATTTCCGAAAATCCAGTTCATGATACTCTCATAAAAATTCGATTACTTTCTAAGTGTTCTCTAAAATCTGTACAAACCAATTAAAAACTTTAAATAGTACAATATATTTCATAAAAAAAACTTTAAATTAATTCATTAAGTATTTTTCGAGTAGATGCTAAGTATATTTGGCCGGAAAGAGCCCAAATGATATCTTCCAGCATCTATTTGTTAAATCAATTAACTATTCTTCTTCAAAAACAGACATTTTTTTGTCTCTATAGACACAAAAGAAACAGATCTCCTATATTCTAAATGATGTCTTGCTCTTTACAGGCTTATTTTAAAACAAAACATTTATTTTGTTTTGTTTCATTTTTAATAAAACTGTTTTAATTTTATGTCAATAATCCGACAAACTTGTTGTAGTTAAATTCATAATACATTAAGACTAATTTGTCTGAATTTAGAAGTATTAGTGTTAAATTTATGCAATTAGCCTCTATACTTTGATACTTATAAAAAAGTTTAGAACCCTCTCAACTCCCCACATTTTACTATTTTAGAATCAAAAATACAAAAATTTTAGGTCAAAAATTCAACATCAAACTACTTTTAAAAAAGAGGAAATCCTAAAGTAAAAATAACTGAAAAAAGTAAAAATAACTGAAACCCTCTAAAAATAAGTGTATAATATTAATGGGCCAAATGCATTATGTAAGTTTTTTTATCATTTTTGAAAAAAAGTTTAACAATATGTTATTACAATTACTGTTATTATTTTTTTGCCTATATACAATCTAAAGAATCATAAATTTGGGGCAAATATATAAAAAATGAGCATCCAAATATGTGAGTGCTTTCACATCAATTTTGATATTTGTCATTTTCAAGCATCTTGAGAAAGGGGTAAATTTTTTTAAATTTCTTTCTTTCTACTTTTAAGAAATATATATATATATATATATATATATATATATATAAATATATATATATATATATATATATACATATATATATATATACATATATATATATATACATATATATATATATACATATATATATATATATATATATATATATATATATATATATATATATATATATATATATATATATATATATATATATATATATATATATATATATATATATATATATATATATATATATATATATATATATATATATATATATATATATATATATATATATATATATATATATATATATATATATATATATATATGTATATAAGGTGAGCATGATGACGCCATACTGAAATAGCCTGCAGCAGGGGCTTCAGTACATGCATCGACTGACAAATAACCTGACTCGCAGTGGAGTGCGATCATTCTTCATTTTTTTTCTTTTTTTTCGGAAAAAACGGACCGGCTTAAGCTAAGCAGAAAAAGTGAGCAAATGCTTATCAAAACACACTTTAGTAAGTATGTGTATGTGTATGTGTATATATATATATATATATATATATATATATATATATATATAATATATATATATATATATATATATATATATATATATATATATATATATATATATATATATATGTATATATATATATATATGTATATATATATATATATATATATATATATATATATATATATATATATATATATATATATATATATATATGTATATATATATATATATATGTATATATATATACATATATATATATATATACATATATATATATATATATATATATATATATATATATATATATATATATATATATATATATATATATATATATATATATATATATATATATATGTATATATATATATATATATATATATATATATATATATACATATATATATATATATATATATATATATGTATATATATATATATATATATATATATATATATATATATATATATATATATATATATATACACATATATATATATACACACACACACTGTTGCTTATAAAAAATAAACTAACTTTTTTCACAACTATTTTTAGCCAATTTTTTTAGCTATGTTTTTATTAAGTATAATTTTGAAAAAATTTATAAAATTTTGGTTCTTTTTAGACCCAACATGACACACTTTAGAAGAATTTTTTTCTCTGTAATATTAGGGACCTTTCTGATGTTTAAGGGTAAAAATGGGGCAGCATTTTTGTATATTACAGGCTTGGTCGGGAACCGGGAGCGATCGCTCTTGATTGCTGACCACGTAAATAATATTTAGTTGCAAAAAGCTGGCCAGATTTTTTAGTCGTTTTGAGAACATTTTAACAAGCAAAAAAAAAAAGCGCTCAAGAATAATTGGACCGATGAGAGACAATTACAAAAATTTTTTTATAAAATTAAGAGATGCTTTTTATGTAAAGTAACATCTTACAATTGTTTAAAAAGGAAACAAATATTCTTTATTAAACAAAGTTTACAAGTTTTAGTTTCATTTAAACTAAATTATTTTATAAATAAAAAAGCTAATTTTTATTAATACCTATTTTATGTTTCGCGTAGTTTGAAAAGTTTAACATATTTGAAGCAATTTTTCTTAGTAAGATAAACAAATGAAATAATTAAATCATTGAATTACTATAGACATTAAATTAACAAGATAGAAATCAACTAAAAAGGTTAAAAATATGAAGAGGAAGCGAAACTGCTTCACAATATCGCTGATGATGTTTAGTGAGTGGGCTTTTTAATTAGTAATTTAAGCAGAAAAAAGTGTAATGAGTTTTTAAGAATGGCAAATGAAGCGAAAATAATTAGAGTTAGTAAACCAATATCTAGAAACCTTTTTTTATATCTAATTATTTGCTATATATATTTGTGTTCTGTCATGACCTCAGGCACAGTGCTTGTTCATCCGCAAGTTACTTTGTATGCGTTGTTTGTGTTTAGTAACCAGAAACTTCTTATATGTGTTACATGATTAGTTTTATTAACTTTAACGATTATAACTTTATTGAAAACGCAATTATTTTTGTAAGTCTTTGTTTAAATCATAAAAATTGCTTTAAAAGATACATTACGATAAAAAACAGATCAACAAAATTACATTTACATAAAGAATACATACTTTTTAAATAAAAAATAAGAATGTACTAATAAAAACTATAATTTATAATAAACTTTTAAAATTTTGACAATTTAATTTATATATATTTAAAACATTTATTTTTGTAAACAATTAATATATATTCTTAAAACGATTTATGCTAGAAATCTGAAAATGTAAAAAATCGTGAATAATATAATTTCTAAAACATTTCAACAAAATGCTCCAAAGTTTTATTTCGCTTAGTCAGCAAATTTTTTGAACCAATAGAATTAATTTGTTCGTTAATTTGGCGGGTTTTTAGTGTTTGCGAATATTCTTTTTATTCTTTCGCACCAATATGTTTTGAGAACATTAAAGTTTTTTATGTTTCCATGTATGTCCGTAAAACAAAAATTTTTTGTTTCGTAAATAAACTTATATGTTCTCAAAACAACTAAAAAACCTGGCCAGTTTTTTGCAACTAAATATAATTTCTGCGGTCAGTATTCGAGAGCGATCGCTCCCGCTTCCCGACCAAGACTGATATTATTATTTTTATTATGTTTTCATTCATTTACAGGTAGACACAACAAATTATTCAGCATTATATTAGCCAGCATCAGCCAAAAGTAGAATTGGTTATTAAAAGTATTAAAAGTAGAATTGGTTAATAGAATTGGTCACTATTAATATCTTTTTAGCTTTTCTTTTTGTTAAGTATATTTTTATTTAATTAAAAAAATTTAAACTATCAAAAAAAAATCTAAACTTCAAGAAAAATATAATCTCAAAAGCAATAGAATTTTGAAAAGAATATAATTAAAGATCATTTTTTTAAAAAGAGCCAAGTCACATTTTACATGTTTAAAAATAAACAAAACAAAAAAACACTAATTATTGGGAAGTATTTCTTGAATCTCAATAACTTTGTAATCGTCAATAAATTAACATAGTTAAATTTGTATTTCAATAAAGAATCAGAATGTTGAAAAACGCCAATTTTGGAAAAAATTATTAATGAAGTAAGGGGAAGTCCATAGAAGGCATAGCTTCTCTCTACGCACACACATGCATGGGCGCTCACACGATTTTTTGATGTTCCAGATAAACCACTTCCACACGTTGTGCAAACTCCAAACTTAAGTATGTTTATACCTATACCATTTGAAGAGACCTTGCAAAAAATTGTTATGGCGGTAGTCAGGGAACAAAAAAGCCCTCAAATGCTTGCATCCCCTCCCCTGGCCAAACGTGAGGGCACTAATGTAGTAAAATTTTCCACCCCCCTTCCCTCAAAAAAAAAAAAGTGTCATTAGGGTCTCAAAATCTCCGCTGTCACTGCCCAGAACATTATCCACTCGGCCAAGCAATCTCTTCAATATTGCAAGATTTAACTTTATTTAAACTTATATTTGTATATATTTGATGATGTTTTTTAAATTGGGATTCTTTGCCGCTAACAAAGAGCTTTGGGGTCGTATAAATACTTTAGACATTTTTCACCCCCCGTCTATTTTTTTTTTTTTTAATATAAAAATTAATTGAAATAAAAAAAATAGGGTATCTTCTCCACCTTTTTTTGATAGGAGATAAAAAATAGGGTATCTTCTCCACCTTTTTTTTATAGGAGGGGGATGGGGGGGGGGGTATATGAAAAACATACTTACATTTTAAGAGGGGTGGGGTCTTAAAAGTATGCATGGCAACAGGGGGGTGTCAAATTTCAGAATTTTTGGCGTACGTACTTTTTGGATGACCCCTAAATAATTTCATCAAAAAATCTAAACTTCTTTAATTATAATAAGCCATATATAGTGACAATTAATTATTAATAAGTCTTTAATAATATAACCTACTTTGCAATAGAGAATGCAAGTTCAAAGTTCCTTCTTTTTGTATCTTTAGATAATTCTTCAATAGGAATATCTTCTGGACAGAAAGAATGTATTAAAGCTGCAAATGCTAGACCATCTGCCCAACTTTCGCTGAAGTTTTCAATATTAACACCCTGAAAAAAAATATAACTTAACTATAAACTTTTTATTTAACCAAACTTTCTGTGAAAAAAATTCTTTTTTTATTTGTTTTTCCTTTAGAATTTCAAAAAAACTAAAAAAAAAAAAAAAAATACCTGGTAACCCATTGTTTGCTTTTGAGCCCATGCCAGTAGCTTAGTAACATTTGTATTAGAGGTTACTTTAGCAGCATTTGGATCTCTGAATATTTTTTTTTTGTAAATTTAAGCTTATTTTAAAGAACATAAATTTATTTTGAATTATTATTTTAATTAAAAACTTTTTAAAATTTTAATATAAATATAAAATGAGTTAACAGTGTAAAAAAACTAAAAAATAAGTTAAAAAAACATCTCACTGTGGTGGAGCATTAGCTTCAAGTTTGTCTTTAAAAGCATTTCGACCAGCTATTACGGATGCATTTTTTTTTCTTTCAGCAAGCATTCTTTCTTTTTTTTTTTCTTCCATTTTCTTTTCAAAAGCATCCTTTTGTTCTAAAAAGAAAAGAATTGATAAATTAACAGAATTTATTGTATTAAAGAGAAAAGTCTTGAACAAACAGAATTTATTCTATTAAAAGTAAACTGAATCTTAACAAAGAAAAAAACTTTATATTACTAAAATCAAATAAACTTAAAAAACAAGCAAAACATAAAAGATAAAAATTACTATTTTAACAAATATAGGAAAGCAAAACCTTTTCGTTTACGAGCAGCTTCATCCCTTTCTTTAGCTCTTTCAGCTTCTCTTTTAAGTCTCTCTGCTTCTCTTTGCTCTCTTTCTTTTTGACGCTCAGCCTCTCTCTCAGCTGCTTTTCCTGTCAAAACCCTTGTACTCTGTAGAGTTTTTGCTGCAGGAGGTACAAACTTTTTTGGTTCTTCTTTTGGTCTGTTAATCTCAGCTAATAGATCAGCAGATACTTCTATTGTTTCATCTTCTTTAACTTTGCGTGCTTTTGTAAATTTAAAATATTATAAATTTAAAATTCTAATTACCTTGTATGTAAAGCTTATAGCTTTCATATAAATGTAATTATAAATAAAGCCTAAACATAAATATAATTATAAATAAAGCTTATATATAAATACAATTGTAAATAAAACTTTTTTATAAATACAGTTGTGATAAATTTGATTAAAAAAAAAAAATTAAATACTGAGAAATAAACTAAAATAACTACTTTATAATAAAATAATTATGAAGAACCAAAATAAAATAGTCTGTAAAAAAAATATAACTAATGAAAAACAAAACAAAAACAATAAACTTACATCGTCTACCAGGTTTTATACCATCATCATCTTTAACATTGCCATTAAACTTTACTGTTTCAGCATTATCAGTAGATTTTACTTCAACTTCTTTTGGTTTTTCTTGTTCATCATCTGAACCAAACTTTATCCTGCCCATTGCTTTAGACTGTGAAGATGGTTTTTTTTGTGCCACATTCGAGCTGTGCATATTTAAAAAATCATCAAAAAAGTAAAACAATGATTCAAGTCAGAAAGTCAGAAAGAATATAATTGTAAACACAATGTTGATAATAAAGCTGACATAATAAAGACCAAGCCTTATAAACACAGTAACCATGCAGATAAGATGAATTTAAAAGCACAGTAACCATGCAGATAAGATGAATTTTGGCATTCCATGTTTAATCCAGATTATAAAACAAAAGAATTTTAACTAAAAAATTCTCAAAAACTAACACTTTAATAAATACTTTAGAAAAAAAGAAAGAAGCAAAAAAAGCTTATTAAACAAATAATCTTCCAATATCAATGCCATATAATTATTTTTGTTGAATCTATGCCATCCAATCAATTTCACTTAAATCAATGCCATCCAATAATAAATACAAAAAATGTATATATTTATTTTAAATAAATATTCAAAACTTGATTAAGTTTTATTACAACTTTATGCTAAAGTCTAAAGCTCAAAACAACCATGTTAATTGCACATTAAAGACTGGATAAATTGTGCAGCAAAGAATGTACAGTTAAGACTTATCAGTTAATAATAGATGAAGAGTATTTACTAAATTAATAATGGAGGTCTGTATAAGCAGTAAAAACTAAATTCAGAGAAAATAAAGAATAAACAACAAAAAATTGGACAAGCAGTAAACACTACTTTGACTTTTAAGAGTGAAAAACAGTTAGCATTGGATAAACAATAAATATTGGATAAACAGTAAACACTGGATAAACAGTACACACTTGATAAACAGTAAACACTGAATAAAAACACTGGATTTAAGATTTAAAAGAAATTTTTTTTACCTGAGTGACGAAACCTTTGAATTATCCACTGTCGGAATTTGCTGTGAAGATTTATCTATCTGTTTCTCTTTTGAATTATCTGTTGGCATTTGCTGTGAAGACTGATCATCTGGTTCCTCAGCATTTACTTCTACATTATGGCTATCATTATCAGGAACTTTTACATCTACTTTGGCTTTTTCAACATCATTCTTGACTTCTACAGGAACAGGTTCTGATTCTTCATGTCTTATTACTCTTCTTGGTTTATCTGTAGGTTTAGGTGGTGGTAATTTAACCTCTTTTGCAGTACGACGATTCCTGGCTTTTCCATCAACATCTTCAACCTCTTCTTCCTTTGTAGAAGGCAAGTTGGCATTGTTTACGTTATTATCTTTGTTAGATGGAGGAGGTTCTTCTGATTTGCCTTTGAAACTTTTTTTCTTTGGGGCAGGTGGAGGGGGTTTGCTTACTGGTTTAGTTTGTACATCTTGTTGGCTAGCAACAACCTGTGAAGACTTTACTAATTCTGTATCTTCTAACTCTACCTCTTGTTCACATTGATCTTCATTAATTTCTACAGCTTTTGGCTCATCATTTATAAATTCACAGTCCTCATTATGTTTTTCATCAATGTTTTGATCATCATCAACAGTTTGATATTCCTTTTTAGCTGTAGCTGGAGAATCATTTTTTTTTAATACAGTTCTAAAATCTTTTTGCTCTCCTTTAGTTACTACTGGTTTAACTTTATTTATAAGTTGAACAGGATTAGGCTCTGCTTTTAAGACAACTCTAAAATCTTTTTGTTCACCCCCTTGTGGTTTATCAGTTGAACTTTTTGGTTGAACCTTGTTGGAAAGAGCTGTTCTAAAATCAACTTGCTGTGGTGATATTGGAGTTTTGTCAAAAACAGGTTTTGGAACTTTTTGCTTCAATGCTGTCCTAAAATCAACTTGCTCTCCACCTGCAAGTTCTTTTTTCTCAGGTGCAGGTAATTCAACTTTTCTTTGCAAAGCAGTACGAAAATCAACTTGCTCTCCGCCTTGCAGCTTACGTTCTAGATTAACAACAGGTGCACTAGATTTTTTTTTAAGAGAAGGACGAAAATCAACTTGCTCTCCAGAGCTTGCAGAATTTTTTTCTAAGTTTACTGGCGATTTTACAGCTCCTTTTTTAAGTTTTTTTTTAAAATCTTTCCCACTTTTAACTCCAGGTTCTGGAACTGCCATTACATCCTCAATGATTGATGCAGCATGTTTTTTTCCATCATATGAGCCTGTTGAACTAGTAGAGTATTTGTTTTTTTGAACACCATCTTCAGAAAAACAATCAGAACCTGAAACATCTTCATCACTATTTACATTATCTTCATGCTCTTCCCTATCTTCTTGTTCTTCATCTTCATTCTCATTTTTAGCATCATTTACTGTTTCATATGAATCTGGTACATCATTACTACAATGCATTGTATCATCTGACTCTGACACATCTTTAGTATCATGAATTCCCTCATCCGACTCTGCTGTATCTTTATTATAACTTATAGCTTTATCTGACTCAATGTCTTTTTCAATATTATAATTACATTTTGTATCATTATATGATTCCTCTGTTGTTTCAGTGTTTGATTCCTCTTTAAAATCTGGTTCAAGGTTAAGTTCTGGTTCATGGTTCAGTTCACACTCTGGTTCAGGGGTAGGTTCTCTTTCTAAACTCGGTTCTCGTTGAATACTTTGTTCTTTTTTATTCGATTGTACTTCTGGCGTAGGACTGGGATCTCGTACATAAACTGGCTCGGTTTTGGATGGTAAATTATTTTTTATTACAGAAGTTGGAATAGGTTCTCTCTCAACTGTTTGAGTTTTTTGTTGTTTTATATAATTATCAGTTTCTTTAGGGTTTAAACTCTCTTTAATAGATTCTTGATTAGATTTTGAACTTCTTTCATTAGATTTGATTACTATAGGTGAATCTATAAAATAAAAAATAAAAACTATATTAAACAACTTTAAAAAAAATATTTTCATGCCAAGATTTCTTATATACATATATTATGATATCATAAGTTTTTTTTTTTTTTTTTATTTGCATTCACTCCCAACAAGGCTGCAAGCAACCACTATTAAGTTGGGAGTTACTAGGAAAAAAAAAGAACAGAGTTATAGAGCAAGGAAATGGTTGACAGAAGACTTAAAAAGTTGAAGGTTGTATGAGTCAGGAAAACATGAAGATGGGAGAGAGTTCCAAAGGATTGAAGTGCGGGGAAAAAAACTAGATGAATAAAAGTTTTTAGAGCATGCAGGGACAGATACAGAAGAATTGAGACTTAGCTGAATGACAAGTAAAACGAGAATGAATTTTAGTTGATGGAACTAGAGATGATAACTCCTTTGAGCAGTGACCATGATAGTATCTGTAGAAAAGAGAAAGAGATGCAACTTTACGACGATGGGAAAGAGGTTCAAGCTTAGCAGATAGTCCAGGTCCAACAACATTTACAATGCGTTTTTGGACCTTGTCAAGAAGAGAGAGTGAATCGTTAGAAGAACCAGCCCAAATATGACAACAGTATTCCATACAGGGACGAATAAGAGATTTGTAGAGATAGAGAATGGAATCAGAAGTAAGGAAATGGCGAGCACGATAAAGAGAAGCAACCTTAGCAGAAGCTAATTTAGCAATCGATTGTATATATGGTTTCCATGAAAGGTCAGTAGTAAGCAATAATCCAAGAAGACGTAAAGAGGACGACTCAGTAAGAGGATTGCCATTCATTAATATAGGAATGTTGACCATATTACGGTAGTTGTTTGCAGTAAGCAATTGGGTTTTTTTAGAGTTGAAATTCACAAGCCACTGTGAACCCCAATCTATTACTGAAGTGAGATCAGATTCAAGATCAGCTGCTTGTTCTAGGCGATCGAAAAGAGAAGACTTTTTGTCAAGACAGGAGTATAAAGTTGGGTCATCAGCAAAAAGAGCTACTTTAGATGAAAGGTTGTCAGGAAGATCGTTTATGTAGATAAGAAACAAAACAGATGATAGGAAGAAGACTAATGGGCTGGTAGTTAGACAAGTCAGATTGCTCTTGAGAATTTTGAAAATAGGGATAACAGATATCACTTTCCAGCATGCCAGAAAACAAGACTCCAATAAGTACTTGTTAAAAGTATAGACTTATTAAAAGTATAACACTAGTTAAAAGTATTGTTGAAAGTATAGACGACAGCTCAGGATAACACTTCTGCAAAACTACAACAGGTATGTTGTCTGGACCACAACTCTAGAAGAGTGTAAGCAGGAAATCAATTTAGATAGATACAGAAGCTGGAGTAATACTAATGTCAAGCAATGGATTAACTTGTTTGTCGGCAATATCAGGCAGTATGCAACTAGTGGAATCAAGAGATGATAACGATGAAAAGCAAACAATTCAGCTTTGTCTTTAGATGAGGAAACAAAATCTGAACCGTAAAATCGAGGTGGAATAGCAGATTTGCCCTAATTATTGATACTGTTAAAGATTCTCCAGAAGTTTGTTTTTGTTCAAAAAGTAATTAAAACCAATGTTATTATTGGGCTTTAAACTAAAATAACAATTTTAATGAAAAACACAGGGTAATTTGAGCATACTCATATTAAAAAAAAATGGCATCTTTAAATAAAGTCAAAACTAAATGTTTCAATGCATTGTTTTTCAAACAAAAATGGATTGGATTTTTAGCTAATATATTTTTCTTTATAAAATTTTTTTTTTATTTTAACATCAAAATTTTGCGCCACAGATTCATTCATGCGTGATAATATTATTTTAACAACACAAAAAATTTAACAGCGTTTTAATTAGATGATAGCCGCAAATCACTGCATAAACTGCAGTCTAAATAGAACAATAAGAAATAAATATTCATAATAAGACTTAAATACCATATTTAGCTTCTCTAACTTCTCTCATACGAGTTCGAATTTTCCTTCTTTTATCTGTTTCTGTAAACTCTGTTGCATTTAACTAAAAAATAAATAAATAGAATTGAGTAGAAAAACAATTTTTTTAAAAGTATAAAACAATATTAAAACATTTAAAAAATACCAATGTTTGAAGCTCTTCTTCTGTCGTATATTTTAAAAGACCATAGGGATCTCCATCATCATCACCTGATGTTATCTGAGTTGCCGCTCGTTTTGAAGAGCCATTTGTCATTGACAAAGTAGTAGATTCACCTGATGATATCTTTTTAATTTCTTCATCAAACTTTTTATTTCTCAACTCTCTTATTTGTTTACGAATTTCTCTCCGTTCTTCGAGATCATCTGTGTTTTCCAACTTAAAGTAAAAATTAATTTATAAAGTTTATAAACTATTTTTATTTAATTTGCAAATTAATAGTTTTACAAAGATTATAGATTGTAAAAAAATAGATTGTAGAAAAAAAAAATTAAAAAATAATGATGATGATAATGATAATGAAACAATTATGATGAGCATAAAATTTTGAATATTATACTATATAACATATAGTATTTCATATTTAAAACATTTATGTAATACGGATTAATATTATATTTTTGATATTATATTATATATCAGGGGCTATTCTAGACCTTTTTTCTCTATTTTTCTTCTCTTTTTTTACATTTTTTACAGCAAATATTGTTTTGCTTTTCCCGCAAAAAAAAAAACACCTATATTCTGCAATATTTCTGCTAAATTTCTCCGAGACGAGGGAGTGTGTGTGTGTGTGGGGGGGGGGGGGAAAGGGGGATAGGTACTGCCACCCAAATTTTTTTCCTAGAGTAGTCCGTGTATATAATATATATTGTATCACATAAAAGTAAAGTATCAATAACATCATTTATTATTGATACTTTTTTTTACATGTAATAATGTAAAAAAAAAAATTTAAGCATTTATAGTATATTTATTTGTATCAGGTATTTATTTATATTCAGATATTTATATTATATTTATTTGTATCAGGTGTTAAAATAACACATGAATGCTGCAAGCACCACAAATCTCAAGCACCCATAAAGAATCACAAGCTTTACAATATGAGATAAAATTATCTGACTTAACATGTCATTAATAACAGGGCTGACAACATGGGTTTCGAAGTGGAGAGGCACAATAGTCAATTTCTAAAAAAAACCCTTTATATCTAGAAATTTCTGAAATTAAAAAAAAAAAAGGTTCTTTAAAAAAAAGTGGGAGAGGAAAAGGGTAGTGTTCCCCTGGCCCTGTGAGTGTCTCCAGCCCTGAATGAGTGTGACAAGTATATAATAAAAATTAATTATTTTTTAATTTATTAAAAATTAAAAAAATAAAAAAATTAAACTTTAAACTTTTAAATATAATTTTTATATTTGTAAAAATTTTTTTTTGTGTTAAACTCATGTATTTGTTTTGTGTATAACATAAGTATCCTACTTTGTATTTTTGTGTATTATTTTTTTTAACAATGTTTTTGGCACAGTAAGAATATGCATAACTGTAATGCATTCATAAAATAACTAAATAATTCTAAACCTTTCTAAAAAAATTTTATTACAACAAATATTTTACCTTTTTTGATAAATAATCCTGATCTAACATCACCATGGTAACTTATCTGTTTATTTAAATTTCAAACTTTTATATAAATGCTTATAAATTTATTATGCTAATCAAGAAGTGTGTATATATATATATATATATATATATATATATATATATATATATATATATATATATATATATATATATATATATATATATATATATATATATAAATTGTTTATTTTATTAAATAAAAAATGCAAACAAAAAAAAAAAACAACAACAAAAAAAAGAATAATCTACTAAATTAGATGTGACCAAAATATTGCCAATAAATAAAGATTAATATTTATTTTTGTCAAGTAATTATTAACAATTTAACAAGTGATTTCTAAATAAGGATAAATTAAAAACTATTTAAAAACACTAAATAAAAATTATACTTTAGAAATGATATTATTTAAGAAATAGGAAAACTTAAAGAAAAAAAATCTTATTAGTAACCTTGGGTTAAAGAAAAAAAAATTGAATGATTAGAAAAATCAAATACCAAATCTTCCTATCAAGTAGTATATTGGTTTGATATATTATCTTAAAAGATTTTTGAAAACCTTTTGGAGTTTTTTCTGACTGATGTTAAAACATAAAATGCATAAATTTGAAAATATTCAGATAAATATCAAATGCCTTCATGCCTAAAAGTTGGACTTGATAAAAAATAATAATAATAATAATAATAATAATAAAATAAATAGTTTGTGCTTGATATTTGTAGAGACATTTAAACATATTCCATGTTTGTATTTCCAAACAATATTACTATAACACAGTATTTATGAATAAGAAACAAAGCTTAGTGATGTATTATTTGACAAGTTATATATAATACCAGTCTTATATGATATTATACGACAAACATATTTAATATCTTTAGGATTTCATCTATTCAAATACCAAGTAATTTGTTTGTGAATGAATGCTTTATTTTAATATTGCTTGTAATTAACATTGGTAAAGGTGCAAGAATATATTGAAACTTTTCTATAGAACAGAAATGTTTCTATAGAACAAAAATTTAGTTTCATTTTGTGTTTAGTTACTGTTAAATAAAAATAATAATAAAAATAATAATAATAAAATAGCAAATAATAAAAATAAAAACTTCCCCAAAATGCTACTTTTTTACCTGCCCAATGTTTTTAGAATTTTCAATAAAAACATTTTGTTCACAATTATATAACTACAATAATGTCTGGAAAATAAATTGCTTCCTTCCACAGGAAAAAAAGAGTTATAAAACATGCAAAAGTCAGAAAAACAATGACATTTTTAATAAACATAGCAAACTAAATAAACTCTTCACAACTAAAAGATATGAAATTCCCATTACTTTAATCTTTTATCATCTTAAACAAATAAACTTTAAACCAACTACAATTAAATAAATACAGCTCGAATGCATGACATGGGCTCAATAGTAAAACAAATAAAGCTTTATCTTCTTTGTTTATCTGTCATCACTTTACCTTATAGAGGTGTTTTTTAGAGTTTTGAAAAGACAAAAAAAATTCTAAACCTTTATGTATAAATTCTTTATGTATAAACTCTTTATGTATAAATTCTTTATATATAAATAATAAATTATAACAATTATAATAAATTCTTTGAAATCTATTGTAATAATATAATAAATTTTCTTTGAAAATTTCTAAATATTTTAAATACAACAGTGTAGAATAAGAAATTAAAAACTCACCAATATATGCACAAACATATATATATATATATATATATATATATATATATATATATATATATATATATATATATATATATATATATATATATATATATATATATATATATATACATATATATATATATATATATATATATATATATATATATATATATATATATATATATATATATATATATATATATATATATATATATATATATATATATATATATATTTAATGAAAAAATTGAAAAACAAATTTAATTTTAATGTGGTAAAAGTAATCACTAAATTAAAAGAAAAGTATTTCAATAAATATCTTTATTATTCTTTCAACCAATTTGATATCATGTGATATTATTTAAGCCAGTCAAAATAAAAAAAAGGAAAGTTTATGTCTGCAAAAATATTTTGGAGAAACCTTCATTTAAATCATATTCAGGATATAACATGCTGTTATAAAACTATTTTTATTCTTAAAGTTATATTGATGGCATGCATTTGTCTTCATCCTCATCAGCATTTCAAAACTTTGATTGTTTGTTATAAGCAACTATTCTATCTTTAGTTTTTTTTTTTTAATTATTTCATAAACCCTTTTTATATTTTAAATAAAAGATCATCAAAAAGTTCACTAAATGTAAATTGATCCTTTTAAAACAGCTTATTCCTCACAACCATTTATGGATACATTAATGATTTAGACGTCTGGGTGGAATAACTGTGAATTCCAATCATTCCTAACAAATTTAACGTCACCTTTTTAATCTACTTATAAAATAAAATATTTTTAAATTAGAAAAAGACTGTTAAATAAATTCTTCTTTAAATTCAATTCTATTTATATTACTTTTAAATGTACAGGTTAAAATGTTAAATAAATATATTATAGGCCAAAATGTAACGGAAATTTGTAACAGATTTAACGTTATGTAGGGTTATTCTAAAAAATGTTTAAAAAATTCTTTTGAGTAAAAATAAAAGAAATAGAAATCACTTCTATTTGTATATCTTGATAATGCAGTGATGGAGATGATGAAGAAGGAACAAAAATCAGGTATAGATGAAGAAACAACAAGGTAATGATTAATAAAATATATTTTATTTTTCTATTTTGTATTTTAATATATTATATTAAAAATATTTGTAAGTCATTATTAATATTTATATATAAAAGATTTAGAATATATAAAATATATTTATATTAATATACTTTTAATAAATAAGTATATAACAGAAAAATAAATATTGATGTTGTGGTTTGTGATGCTTACAAGCTATATTAAAATTTTTTCTTAAATAATGAAAAATAAGAAATATAAATTATTCAATACAAAGAAAACTTTTATTGATTGTAAAAAATATTTTATTACCTTTTTTTTTAATACAGATTCCAAGTCGGCCATTTGCTTTGTTTTATTAAAATTAAATCTAAATGATAAATAATATAAAATCACCATTATTATTATATCAGTTAAAAATATTTAATATTATATTTTAATCAAATCAGGAGTCAATAAAGAATTTTTTTGTAGATAAAAATTTGATCTACAAAAAATTTTTTAACTTTATTTGATTCTCATAACAATTTGTGAAGACTTGTTTAACATATTATATAAGAAAAACAATTATCACTTAAAAATCATAGGAGCACTTGAAATTACAAAAAAAAAAAATTCCCATATCTATTATCTCAACTTTCAAGAATGCAGATATGATATGTATAGATAAAAAAATATAATTAGGTATGAGCAAACAGGTATTTTTAACAGGTTATCATTTTTAATACTTATTTTTACTTTTTTTTTATTTTATACTTAAAAACTTAAATACTTTGATATGAGAAAAAAAAAATTATGACTTTATGTTGACATAAACTACATATTTACTAAGTAGTTAATTATGTTGACATAAATTACATATTTACTAAATAGTTATCTAAAATAAAACAAAAATTAACAAACGTCTGGTTTGAGACCATCAAAGTAAATCAGCATTCAGGTCAAGCAACTTTCCACTTTATATTCTTGTTAACGATACAAAGTTTATAACATGATAAATAGCAGAAATAAAATTAATGATAAACTTTATTTCTATTCAAAGATTGGCATTATGTAGAGCCAAAGCAAGTAGACAAAAAAAGCACATAGAACAAAACGAAGAAGGATAAACAGAAAAACCTTGAAAAAGTCCTTATTTGTTCAATAAGAAAACATGCTTCAGTTAAAAAAATGAAAACTCATAAAAAATGTAAGGATTGAAGAAATGGCATTGTGGAAAATCTCTGAAAAATAAAGATTCCCTTTTGATTTGGTCATTTAATATGTAGAAAATGATATACATGATTTAAATCTACTTTTTTTTTCAAAGCTTGTTTTAGGCATAACTAAATCTTTTTTTTTTTTTAATTTTATTTAAGAAAAAAAAAAAAAAAAAAATACAATTAATTCACTGTAATTTTTATTTGACAGTTGCTAACACAAGACTATATGGTGACAAGAATTTTATTTTTCCCTTTCAGTATATATCAACAAGAATTTTAACTTCTTATTTATATATAAAAAAAGCTAATTGTTTTTTGTTGCAGCTTTTCGTTTATTTAAAAAAATTGTTGATAAAAAGGTTTAACAATTATTATTATCTTTATTTTTATTTATTACCATTATTATTTTTTTATCATCTATATCTTTATTTTTTACCAATATTATTATTTTTAATCACATCATTACACATATCATATAAATGTATAATCATACAATTATTTATTAATCATTGTAAAATAAAATATATTAGATTTCATATTTATAGATAATACTAAAATATTAAACATAACCAAATAACAAATAAAGTATTATTATTGTAAATATCATGAAAAGAAGCATGTTTTTGTTTTTTGTTTACTGTTTGCATTTGTTTTGTTTTTAGGTAAATTTTAAAACTAAAAGAAAATCTACTACACAAGAAGACTGGTAACTAACCATAAAGTAGATACAAACTTTAACAAGTTTCAAAGTTGGATTTTTATATTATAAAAACTTTCAACTACACTACAATTAAATTTTTTTTTTCAAAACTTGTTTTTCTCTTTCATTAAGGTATTAATTGAAGCATTACTCCTTTCAAACATCAAATCTTTTTAATTCTAGAATCTTTTCAAACCTTGCATCTCTTTAAACTTCATATCTTTTTAAATTTAAGAATCATAAAATTATTGAAAAATTTTAAACAGTCTTGTATAGAATATTATTGTAAAAAAGTCTTGTAAAGATTATTAGTGTAAAACAGTCTTGGATATATCATTAGTGTAAAACAGTCTTGTTTAGATCATAAATGTAAAACCTGTTTTGTATAGATCTTTGGTGTAAAACAGTTTTGTAAGGATCCTAAGAGTAAAACAGTGTAATATAGATTAAAATGTTTGATTGTAAAATGTTCTTTATAAAAATGGCTTTTTTATACAAAATGTGTTTATTTTAAATAAATTAAACCAGGCGAACGCAGCATTTTGTGGTTTTTGAAACTTCCAGCCAATGAACAAACTTCAAACATTTATATTTTTATACTTATGTCAAATAAAGATGATTTGCAAAAAATTGTGCTGATTGGAGCTATCTAATTTTTGTTCCCTAGCCCCAAACTTGAGAAAAACAAGCTAATAAAAATTTTATCTTACTATTCTTAAATAGAATTATATTCATTAAAAAAGTTTCATAGAACAATATCACAGCGTTTGAACCCCTCAATTTGAAGGGGTTAGAAATTTTATTTTAATAGCTTTCTTTATTTAAGATATTTTTGTTTCCAGGCTCTAATCATCACAATTTTTTGCAAACTATGCACCAATAAATCTAGATCCCCCTCCCACACCATCTTTTGGTGCAAATCTACACCAAAGAAACCCTTGCAACAAACAAATAAAACATTTAATAAGAAAGTAGTGTTTTTATTTTAGGAGCTTTACAAAAATTAAAAAAATCTTAAAACCATTTAAAAAAATTTAAAGATAAATTAAAAAAATAAAAGTATTAATTAATTATCCGTTAATTCAATGACCCTCTTCAATTCAGTTCCAACTTTTTGAGGTCATAATTTTTGAACGCTCAGAGATTGTACTATGAAACTCTTTTAACCAATATAAGTCTAGTTAAGTATAAATACAATATAATTAAGATTTTTATTGTTTTAAAACTTCAAATTAAGCAACAATCATTTTATTTAAAATAAATACTTGGTTTATTTAAAAAATTTGAATGTTGCTACAGCATTAAAAAACAACTATGATACATAGTTTTTGAAGGTTTTTTTTTACTTTTTTTTTATTTAATTTTTGCTGAGGAATATAGAAATATAACAAAAATATTTATACAAAACATTTTGTAAAATAAGCATGTAAGGAACATGCATGCATAAATTTTTATATTTTTTCAAACTGAGTGTAAAGTAAGTGGTAGAGCTGACAAGAAATATATTAAATAGAGCAAACAAGAAACTGTAAGTTATACCCATGCCATGTTTCTGATGATAATGCCATGTATCTGTCCTCAACTTGTTTCTCAATGCACCAGCCTTGTTCATCAAGGCTTGTGTATCAAAAGTTAGAAGATTGAGAGAGGGTTGTAACGACAACTAGAATATCCTGCTCTTTGATTGCAGTATCCCCAGAAGCCATAGGGAGGTTAAAAAAAAAAAAAAAAAAAAAAAAAAAAAAAAAAAAAAAAGCTTTCTGTATTTAAATCAAATTTTTAAGTAGTTTTATAAGTACTTTTGCCTACTTAAAGAAAAGTAAATTTTACTTTTAAGAAATGTTCATATTTTAAGGAATGAGGGCTCCCTGCCAACCTTACTGTATTTTTTTTTTTTTTTTTTTTTTTAATTATGGCATAAAGAACAAATATTTTTTATATTTAAATTATCTTACAATTTTTAGGTGGTTTTTTTTAACCAAACCAAATTTTATTTTTGAAAGATTTTCATATTTGAAACCATTTTTTATTATTTTCCTCCATAAATAATGCCATACGTAGTTTTTTAATAATAAAATTTGATTCAAAAGAAATTTTTGTATATGAACTTTTAATTGAAAAAAAGAAAAATTTGTGTAGTTTTTACAAAAATAATGACAATAAAATAACAATATCTAAAAGCTATTACTAATAAAAACCGTTTTACTTTTACTGGAAATACTTTTTGATTATGTTAGGGGTTATTGTAGAACCATTTTGATAGAATTAAACAAACTTGGGAAACATTCGGGTGCCGTCTCAATTCAGAAATAGAGGACCTTTTTTTATAGCAAATATTTTTTTTTGCAAAAAATGCCTTTATGTAGAAACGTTTCTGCCAACTTATTTATTTCCTTACGGCAGGTGCTGCAACAGGGAATTGTGCTGCCCAAATTATTTTCTTAGAATAGCCTTAAATGTTATACTTTCCTAGAATAGCCCTTACAACAGGTGCTATCTTTGAACATAATTAGGAGATTAATATTTCCAAAAAATTATTAAATAAACAAAAAACAATATTTCATTTAAACACAGTTTTATAGAGAATTAAAAAAAAAAAGAGGACATGAGGGGCGAAACCTTAAAAACAGCTAGCCTGATAAAATATAAGACTAGTTGTTTACTATAAGCATATTTACTATTATTTGAAGAATAAAATATATTTAAATATGAAAATAATTAAAACTTAAAGATAACACTTATTAAAAAAAAATTAGATTTTACTAAAGTTAACAAGTTAGCAATTCAAAATTTTATTACGTTTATTACGCATTGCTAACTTAATAGATATGCCTAATAAAATTTTGTCAAATGTCTTGCAATATAATAAAATTCTGTTAGATTCCATTACTTATGAGAAACTCTAAAACTAACAATAGTTAACACCTTTAAAAAAATAGAACAGTTTATACATTACCTTTGGTCTACTTTTTGAATTCTATTATCATTTCATTACTACATTATTTCATTGTTCATACAATGACTGAAGATGATTGTTGCATTTATTATATTTTTCTATGAACAATTTTAACTCAAATGAGACCGCCAATTTGATTGCAATGGAATATGGTGTATTTAATATATAAAATTATTATAAAATTCACTCAAAGCTCTAATTTTAAGATTTTGAACTAAATCTAAAAATAAAAATAATTAGTATTTAGTAAAAAAATTTACATATTTGGATCAAGTAATTAGTTTAGTTATAAGTTGCTGTTAAATGTTTTAATAATTACTCTATAATTAATACTTACAAATATATATTTTCTTTTAATTAAAATTTTAAAGGTTTAATTTATGATTTAGTTTAGTAAAAGAACTTACAAAATATTAATGTATTTAAGCTATAAGATAACACTAATTTCAACTTTTAAAAACAATTTTAGGATGAAAATTTGTTATTACCATGTAATTTAAAGGTCGTTATTTAATTTTACTTATTAAAATTTTTTTATTAGGATAATAAATGCTTGGTTAATATTCATACAGTTTATTAATAAATAAGTCATTTAAAAAAGTTTGGTTTATACGATTCCATTGATAATAGAATTTTTGTTTAATCAAAGAATAAAAAAAATAATTAGATCTTTTTTACAACTAAAAAATTATATAAAAAAATTTTAAAAAATTAAAATAATTCACATTATGAAAAAAAGTACCAACATTAAACTTCTTTACTCAACTCATCCTTCTTCCAGTAACTGTCAGCGCTGTTGGGTGTAATATGTAAATAATACGCGGACTGGAATTTGACGACGAGTAATTGTCAATAAACAAAACGGTGTAAAAACTTTCAAAAGAAATCGTGTTGGCTAGGAGTAATAGAATTGCTAACCATAATTGGAACCCAATATAAGTAGCTGTGACAAGGAGTACCCTTCATCACACGTTTATCACCTCAAGCTATATTATGATCTAAGGTTGGTTCAGCGCCGTGCTGTAACTTTTGGGGGCCCTGTGCAGAAACTAAAAAAAATTTTTATTTCTTTCAATTCGTAGTAATTTATGGTATTGGAGAAGTTTTTCTAATGTATTTAATAGGGGGCCCAGTGCGATTGCACTTGTTGCACTTGCGATAGTACGGCGCTGGCTTGGTTTGTTTTTTAGTATTAGCGTTAACATTATACATTATCGCCTTTTACTAGTCTCGATCACTAAATTATTTTTCTTTTTTTCTTTTTCTTTTTTTTATAACAAATCTTGTTACATATTTCGAAAAAACAATATTTACATGTCTCCAGTTTATATACAAAGTCACACAAAAAAGTTATTACACAACACATATTTATAATACCTAAAGAAAGTTAAAAATGATGTTATGAACTTGCGTTTAACACAGGGTTGTTTTTATTTATTTATTTTTATTTATTTCTTTTCTTTAGTAATACCATATAAAGATGTATTTATTATCTTGAGAAAAATAAAATCGAAAAACAAAATTATTACGTATCAGAATAATAAAAATACATTAATATAATATTGACACATTTATATAACATTGATACAAACTATAATGTAAATTTTGGTATAATAACTATTATATATATATATATATATATATATATATATATATATATATATATATATATATATATATATATATATATATATATATATATATATATATATATATATATATATATATATATATATATATTATATATATATATATATATATATATATATATATATATATATATATATATTCTCCCAAACTATAATACCTAAAAAAAGGAAATCAAAGAAGTATAAAACTTCAAAAAAAATCTTTTCGCAGGTTCCCTAAAGCCATTTGGCGTATATCTATGTCTATGTAAGAAGGCAATTTAAGTAAATTTAGAAACAATTTTTTTGTATTTAGTTTTGCAATTATTTTTTCTACTGTAATTATTATTTTTTTTTTTAATTAATTTTTTTTTAATAATTTTTTTTTGTTGAAATAATTTAATTTAAGATAAATTCGTGGTTTATAATATAAAGTGCTGGCTATTAACCCATGCAATTAAAAAGTATATCCAAGTCCACAGCACCACTGCGCTGCTTGGATCTTGCTTGTGTTTGTCGTTGAAAAAATATAATTAATTTTAATAAAACTATCTAGTTGTAAGGAAACTTGCTGAGGTTTTAAAAAAGTATTTTCATCAAGAACCTTTAGAATATAAAATAAACTAAATACTTAAAAAAACAAATTCTATAAAAAACACATAAACATTTCAAGATCTACTACACTTTAGTAGTTTATAAAGTGTAGTTGTTAATTTCTTATTAGTTGTTACTTATTCGTTTGTTTATTATTTTTTTATTTATCTTTATTTGTCTTTTACGTTTAATACAAATCGATAAAAGTTGTTTTTTTATTTGTGAGTTTTTCTTGTTTTTATTTCATGAAGATAAAGTTATCCACTTTAGTAAATTCTATATTTTGAGGTAGTATTATGTTATATAAGTAAGGATCATTTGTTGAAAAATATCAAGAAATTTGTTTTTTTAAAAGCGCAATATTTACTGTTCTTTGGGTGATGTATCTGTGACAGATTTTAGTAGATGTTAATTTGATAAATATATAATGTATTCAAATTTTTAGATAAAGGAATGGAATATGTGAATTTATTCTAAATATAAACCAGTCTTAATGCATGTTTGTGATGTATTTATAGAGAATTTAGTTTAGATTTATTTGTACTTTGCCATACAATATTAGCTTATGTTAGATAACTTTGCATATAAGAAAAGTAGATAATTTTCAGATTCTTCTTCATTCAAACCTATACTTTGAAAAGTTCTCTACTTGTATACTAATGTATTACTTACCTTGTATTACATAAATGTATTATTTCTTACAATTTCTTACAATTACTGTTTATACAACTAAAATTACACTTTACAACTTAATATTCAAAAATTACATTAATTGGCAAAAAATCCATTTTATTGAAAGCTTTGACTATATTTGTCTTTGGTGGTATATCATAAAGAAGGCCGATTTTGAAGAAAAACAAAACTTTTGATGTTTTTCAACAGTTTATCCAAATTTAAGATATCTATATCAGAAAAAAAAGAAATTAATTTAACCAAAGGAAAATTTTTTACTTAAATCTGAATGCATGCAATTAGTTGAAAAGTGACACATACCACATCCACAAAAAAGTGACACATACCACATCCACAAAAATTCTAAAAATTTTAATTGAGTTATTTACCTTTCTTTGTCACTCATTTTTTCTTCATCGTCATCCTTAATAAGACAAACAGCAAAGAACTTAATATTTTGTATAACACTATTTAACTGGATATGTAGAAATAAAGATAAATAACAGAATAAAAATTTCTAATTTTTGTTTGTTTAATAACTTTTATCAATAGCAGCCTTAATAATATACATATCAATAACAACCTTAAAATAAACAGAGTAAACACATAAATTCAAATAATGACTTAATTGTATATCTAATTTATTAAGTTTATTTTGTATTTATCATCGGATATATATAATTATAGTTAAGTTTTTAAATAACTGATGTAATTAAGAAACTGCATATTTCTTACAACAATAATAAAACATTTTTTTTTCTCTCTAGCTAAGAAGTGTTTTCATTACTTTACAATACATAAAGGTTTCATCTTTTTACGTAAATACTCTCAATGCAAAGATTCCATTTTTACATAGAGTGTTTCTTTAAAAAATTAAAACTTTACTAATTTTACATTTTATGTTACTCTGAAGGGTTTTAAAGTCCATTAAATTATTTCTTATTGTGTTTTTTTTTTAATTAACTAACCCATAAATTGTTAGATGAGTAACTTCTGCAACAAAATTTTGTAAATAAAATTCCGTCATAAAAACTTGATGGCATTGCATTTCCACTATAAATAGCCACTGGATACTATATTTTACTATTGAACAAAAAATTGGCTTCACCTGCTAATTATCGGAGCACTGAATAGGAATTCCATCAGTATTTACATCAATAGTTATTAAGTTAATACGTACTTCAAACTTTTGTAAATGTAAATACTATTATACTTGCTTAAGACAACGTGGATACAATATAACGTTACTTGTACATAATAATAAGGAGCTCTTGTTAATGGTTGGACATCTTTTGCTATGTCACAATTTTCAAATTTTCTAGACTGTTTTAGAATTAGTAGTATATTGTCTACTGCATCTCTTGTTAAATTTTGTAAAACATACACTGGTTTAGGTTCAGAACCAGTATCATTGAATTCAACATCACTTGAATATATATTGACTTTATTGAGAGATAATTCTTGTAAATCATTTTTAATTGTTTTCCAGTGACAAAAAATCTTTAGGTAACAGTTCATCTAATGAACTTAACAACATATCATGGAAAACAGTACAAGAGATATATTTATTATCACATAAATTATATTTGATAATAGATATAGCTCCAGTACTGGAGATATATCTGTTATCACATATATCATAATCGTATATCAACATATCAGTGCAAACTGTACTTTCAGTTTTCACTGCTATTTTAATATACGTGATACTGCTTTAGCCGAACAATATTTATTGTTGTACTTAAGTATTATTACATATACCAGCACATCACTGCAAACTGTAATGGAGTATATCTACAAAAACAACAACAACAACAACAACAAAAACAACAAAAACAACAACAACAACAACAACAACAACAACAACAACAACAACAACAACAACAACAATATATTTACCAGAAGTCTAGATAGATTTATTCTATCTATACTTTAGGAGTTATTTTTGTGTCTATTATCTACTGTTACATATATTTTGCGATAACATATATATTCTTATTACAGTTTGCACTGATGAGTCGTAAATTATAACATCATTTAATAATAGCATATGATAACTGTAGTAGTGCTTTAACTGAACAATATCTTTTCTTAAAACCTAATAATATTAGTAATATTATGTTAATGAACTTGATAATATATAACATAATAGTATAATATCAATAATATATTATACTATATAAAACTATATTAATGAAAAAAATGATAGATACATGTGTAATGCTTTATCTGAAGGATATCTTTTCAGAAGAGATATCATTCTGCTAAAAGATTTCACATATATCACCTATATCCAATGATATATTATATAGCTAGATGTCT